CTTTATTTATTCCTTCTCTTTCTAGCTTGTACTTATTTGAACAATGTCTAAGAACTTGGTATTACAACCACTTCCTGTGTCTGTTTGCCTCTTAAGAAGAATCGCTTTATGTATCCCCCAATTGTAAGTCGCTTTGGATAAAAGCGTCTGCTAAATGACTAAATGTAAATGTAAATGTAAATGTTCTCTGCATTGAAAATTAAATAGGTACCTCAACAGAAACAGGTAGGCCACTGAATATGAATGATATCTTTGCTTTATCATTTTATGTACAGGCAAATATCTTTCTAACAAACAGGGACATAATAATTATTAATGGCCTTTAAAGTATGACCTCTTTCTGCATTTATCAGATCATGCCAGTGTATCGCACAACTTCATGAACACTTACTAGATTTTCTATTGAGCTCTGAAATTCACTTATTTTCTTCAGGGTTTCATTGTCTCTCTTCACCTCATTGATGTACATTGCTAGGTCCTTCAAAGACAAGACAGACAGACAGACAGACAGACAAAGGCAAAACACTCAGATAAAAAATCCAAGCCACTCATCCCCCAAAATAAAAAGTCCCAGAGATCACTGCACAATAAACATTATGCTAGGCATAATTATATTACAACCCAACTATTGACATCAAATACTCTATTAGGCTATTATGTGTATATAATGGTCATAAAAGAGTTCAAACCTGCATGGCTTCTAGTGCCTCTTTAAGCTGCTGTCTCTCCGGGCGGTCCATAGAGTGACTTACTAACTCCTGTGGACAGACAACATAATGATAAGTCACGCATACTTAGCCTGACACAAGACTTGTGCCTGTTTATGGTGGTATTTCACTCTAAAAGACATTATTTAAATGGTGTGCATATATGTACACACACACACACACACACACACATAAAATAAATTATATATATGTATACCATGTGAAATGCTTGATTGAATGCATGTAATTATAATTCTAAAAAGCTTAGTTTTTTTTTTTTTTACTTTTTAACTGAGGACATCAAATGTGGATGTCCCTAAAAGAAAGAGGTCTAGTTAGATTTAGCAAACTTTTTAAGAACAAGCACACGCCATCTCAAGCACAACTCACACAGGCTACACAGCAACACTCCTTGGGCTTGAGTGTATGAAATGGGCTGCGGATAATATGATTTAAGCATGGCTGATTTAAACAGTGTCACTGTATCCACCTCCCAATGCTCACTTCCCTCTCCGCTGTATCCTGGCCGTCTGTCACACGTCACAGTCTTTCTCTCCGTATACATTATTAATGTGTGTTTTGAATTAATGATGGTTTGTATCATGCAGGGCATCCTGTTTTATACATGATCTCTATTAGCAGTGGCTGAGCACAGTGGAGAGCCACATGGGTCTTGTTGGATGAGGTAAAACGATGTGAATGTTTTATAGGGTTTTGGGGTTCGCAAGATACTGCTGTTCTGCTGCTTTCAAACTTTAAATTGGAATAAATGGAAGTTGAACAGGTTGCTTAATGAGCTCATAGTAATGCTGATGGTGGCTCTCACCTTAAGCAGAAGGTGGTATTTGAGGACCCTCTGCATAGGGACCACCAGGAGATCCTGCAGTTTAAATTTCCCCTCCTGGACCTTCATGGTACACTCCTGTGGAGGAAGATTATTTCAACAGGTCAGCAGTTTTTAAAAGGAAAATCTCAGAACAAATAAAAACAAAGTGGAATTTAAAAAGACATAATTGTTAAAGATGACAAGGCTTTCTGGAATGTGACATTTTGTAAGATGAAAAATTATTAAAGGGGTCAGTCATATGATGCGATTTCAATTTTTCCTTTCTCAATTTTTTGGTGCATAAAGAAGATCTGTAAAGTTGCAAAGACTAAAGTCTCAAATCCAAATAGATATTCTTTATAAAAGTTAAGAATCAACCACACCTACCTAAAACGGCTCGTTCTAACACGCCCCCACATATCTACGTCACGATGTGGGAAAATTTGCATAACGCCGCCCAAATGTTCACGCAAAGAAAGAAGTTGTAACTTTAATTCTTGCTGTTGCCGCTGCTGCCATGTTGTGGAGTCGCTGTGTTTCGTTGTGAAATCGACACTACTTTGTTTGGCCTTCCAAAAGAGGACACAACTAGAAATCAGTGGTTAAGTTGTATTTACAACACTGATCCAGAACATTTCAACCCAACTGTGTGCTGCGCATTTTATGGAGGATGAGGACTGTTTCCTGAACCAGTAGCCTACAATGCATCTGTGGCACAAAGGCTGTTTCTATAAAGTTGGGCAGTTATTTAATATTTATTTAATATAATATTTAAATAATTTGCCACTGATGATTCAAACGCGAGTTTTGAGCAGTGTAGAGTAGCGCTTGTTGTTTGTCGTTTCTCCGATCACAAATGCAGACATGGTTTTATGTTTACGCAGCGCGATACGCAACGCAACGCAACGCGTAAAAAGACAGCATAAGTCATTATAATCAGTAATTACAGCATTATGCATGAACATTCACGCCTCCTCACGTATACCTTTTCTACACAAAAAGTGTCTTAGAAAATTTAAATCAATATATTGTTTTCTGTGAATGAGTGAGTAAGATGATTTTCACATAATTTTGAAGCAAAAACTCTAGACTTCAAGATCAGTTCTCAAAAGTCTTGTGAACAAATGTTCTGTATGTGTTTTATGGCCTTATTTCAGTGACTTTAAAATTGTAGTTTTTCACTAAGCACGCATAAACGTTGTTTTCTCAAAAACACAATCACGTACATACATGCTGCTCACATATTATTGTAGCCCAGTTTGTGCTGATTACAGTGTTATTAAACTTTAGACATTCAAATGTTTGTAAGCAACTGAAAAAAGCACAAATGTCAGGGCATGTCAAAACTTTTCCAGGCCCCAAAACACCCTCGGACCCCAGAGGGTTAAGGGGCGTAACATTTCCGTCACACGCTTGAGGCATTCGGCCCATCACAACGCACTGGATAGCTAGCCAATCAGAGCACACCTCACTTTTTTAGAACGATGAGCTTTGTAAAAATCGACGCGTTTCAGAAAGGCGGGACATAGAAGAGAAACAATAATGTACATTATATGGAAAATAATGTGTTTTTTTAACCTTAAACCGCACAAACACATTGCATTACACCAAATACACAACGTCATATGACCCCTTTAAATAATAAAAGGCAAGGCTTGATTTTATCCATTAAGATTTGACTGGATTTATGATATTATTGGTTAGTGATATTTTTTCTCCAAATTTTTATTAGTGATTATGAAAATGTTTTTCTTTGGAATAGTGTGTACTATAGAAATCCCTTTCCACCCTAAATAAATACATACATAAACAAAAAATTGTGAATTTATATCTCACAACTTCATAACTGGGTCCCTGTATCTCACAATGTGACTTTATTTCATATTTTAAACACAATTATCTTTTTTCAACTCTGAGATGGAAACAGGCTTTGATTGTTCCTAATCACACACAATAAGACCAGAAACATTTATTAGATAAATAGTAATATAGTAATTTTTTTAAATCAAAAATTGATTTCATTTTGTCTAATGTGTATAAACTGTATACTGTATATAAACAGACGTTATCTTTTCCTCCGCACGATTTGTGGTCGTCACTTAATGTGTTAATCTCTTCATTTTTATCCTCCCTGTTCTCAAATGACAAGTAAGCAAGGAGGACAGACTACTCAAATGTCACGCTTGACATTCAGAGTAGACTGAGGAAGAGGTTCATCATCTCTATGACTATCAGTGACTCCACGTCCCTCCTTATGAAGGATCTCTGACTAATCCACTACAAGAGCCACTCGTCTCTTTCCAAGAGGTCTCATAACCACGCACTGTATGGACTGAACCCGATTACAGAGCCATTCTTGTGTGTGAGATAACAGGACGATAATTATGTGAATTTGTCAACAAGCATGTCTAGAATTTCAGTTGCTGTGATTTCATCTGTAATCTCCTCTAATCCCATGTGGAAATAATGGCTTCTCTCGCCAGTCTTTATTTTTGGAGTCATTAAAGTAAGCCACACTGCCTCAGACTGGCAGGCACAAAAACAGCACTGTAGTCTTTGCATCCTGAGTAGCATTAGTAAAGCAAAATTAGTTCATGTCCCAAAACTGTCAACAGCAGTCTGCTGAGAGGGAACGATGTGCTGGGGCTGACCACTGGAGTGGTCTCTGGGAGAAAGAGCTGTTAAAAGAGTCTCTTTGAGGCGGTGTACCTGATGAGAAGTACAGTTTTAGTGGGAGAGTGAGACCTGCATGATGTTTAGTAGATTTTGAGCATTATTAATTCACTTAAAGATAAATTACATCACCCTCATTTCAAATGCACACGACTGCCTTAGAACACAAAAGTAAAACCAAATAATGCCCTGATTGCTGTTTTTTTTTCTTTACTGCAAAAACAATAAATGTGTCCTGGAGCTTTCAAATGGTAAAAACAGAAAACAAAGAATCATAAAAGTTGCCAATTTGACTCCTCAACTAATCAACTCATTCCGAGTCTTCTCCAAGCCACAATATAGCTTTTGTGTGAGGAATAGACTGAAACCACGAGAGCAATAATGATGTTCGTTTAATGAACATATTGTTCTTTGAGTCAGATTATTTCAAGGAATTGATCCAGTTCACAAAAACATGCTTGAATGATTCTTTTTTTTTCCAAATTAGATCGATTCAGTTCACACAGACTCAGTGATCCAGTCCCAGCAGTTAAAAGCACACTGAGAAAAAAAATTAAAAAAAATAAAAATGATATATATATATATATATATATATATATATATATATATACTGATTTTTATTTATTTATTTTTTTAATTTCTTTTTTTCTTTTTTTCTTTGATTAAAAGAAAGTTAACAAACTGACAATTGTAAAGAGTAATGGCTGCTGAAAATTCATCTTTGCCAACACCGAAATAGAATGGACAGAAATTACATCATAAATATATTATAATGGAAAACAATTATATTAAATTGTAATAATATTTCACAATATAACTGTTTTAATGTGTTTTCATCAAATAAATGCAGCCTTGGTGAGCATAAGGGACTTCTTTCAACAAAATTAAAAAATATCTTAATTATTTTAAACTGTTGACTGGTCGTGTATATGTACGACACTGCATACCTGAAACATCAATATGCCACCGACACTTTAAGAATGTACAAGCAAAATGTTAAGAGCATACCTCCACTTTACACTTGACATCTTCCCGTGTGGCAATCAGCTCATCCAGTGTCTTCTGAGCGTTCTCCATATGGCTGCAGTACTGGCCGTAGATCAGCAGTCTACAAAAGAAAGATCAAAGATCGATACCAAGACTTTGCAATGACATTCAATACTCAGGCTCAACATATAAAAGGAATAGTTTCATTATATAGAAAACAACAGATGTACTGTAATTTGGGTTTGGTCAGTAAATAAGACAAAAATTATTTTCAGTTTTACCTGAATCTTTGAAACCATTAAAAGAAAAAAAAAATCTGTGCTACATGTGATGAACAGATAGTTAGTGTTACATCATTTTATTATAGAGCTACATCTGCTGTGCTCTCTTCATCTAATTAATCTGAGTGAAGCATTTTGTGGATTCTGGATTGTGTACAAGTTAATTTGGGCCCCTGTGAACATCAAGACACATTTATTAGATTTCACAATGGACTCCTGATAGTGATCAGCACATTCTGGAAGCAGCTCAAAGTCATCTCGTCTAGATTATGGCCCCATGTGTGGCACAGATTTCTGCCTCTGATTTAAGTAGGACACTGGCACAGTTGGCAAGCTCAAACCCTTGGATGCTCTCAGCTTGCCTGCCTCTTAACTGTGTTCTTGGTTAAGCCGATTTCACTTTATAATATATACTCATTACTTAGTTATCCTTGATCAGAAGAATGAAATTGGCTGTAATCCTATAGAACCCCAAAGAAAAAAGATGAAATCTGGAAGAAAAGTGGTCAGATCAAAGCAAGATACATTTGATCTAAATCCGAACTGGATTATCCTCTAAGGCAAAATACATCTGGATGAGGTCAATTAATCAAAGGATGAGGATCAAGTCAAATCCAGCTCATTAAGTGTGGTCTCTGAAGTGTTACAATCTTCTTGATGGTCAGCAATTCAGCCTCCAAGTGTCACCTCTCTATATGTTGACATGCAAGCCACCCGTTAAGATCTGCTACTGTAAGGAGTGCGAAACTAACTGAAACTGTAGTCTTGAGCTGAAAAGGGTGTTCCCCTGCTGCTCTGCTCAATGTCTGGGCCTCCGTGCCCTTGGACTAAGCAGGCCTGATTAAAGGCTAATCTGGAACAAGAGAGGCAGCTTGGTTCCTCATGGAAATAGACTGATGGAGATTAATGGCGGCCCCACTCAATTATGAGCCAAAACGCACATTCAACAGCATATTGAAAATGCGGGAGCAGGTGTCGGGAATTAGCTGTAATAATAACAGATGTCACAGGCATAATTGAACATGAAGGTCTTCTTTACAAGGCAATTTCCACATTAAATGTTTCAGGTGCCTTGTAAAATGGACTGCGAGGGAGAGAGGGTGCTTTATGTAGGACACTTGAAACAATGCAAGAATAATGGAACGAGAATCTTCACATAAGTGTCTTTATATGGCTTTAAAAGGTATTATATGCATCAAACTTTTACATTTTAAATTACATTGTTAAAAAATGTCATATTGTTTTACTTTTTGTTTAACTTTTTACTAATTAAAAAAAAATCTTTAAAAAAGCTTTGCCATAACAAAAGTATTTTAAAACAGAAAATAGTAAATTGTAATAATGTTTTACAGTATTACTGTTTTTACTAGGGATGCAACAGATCACAAAAATTTTTTGGATGACCAAAAAAAAAGGTACTTCTAACAGCAGTATTCAGATACCGAAACTGCATAGCCCTCACAATAAATTAAATATGAATCTTTGTTAAATCTACAACAGTTTTTCAATCAGGAGCAGTGAATGATTTTCTCTCTGTCTTAACATTAATGACAGACAGCAGCAGGTTATTAGGCTGCTGTCACTTTTAGACTGAATGCACTGATTCAATATCGTGACACACATCTATTTTTTCCTCAGTTGTGCATGTTCACTTAAGACATAACTGATTACACTTACAAGGATACTCGGAGAGACAGGCATTTTGATATAATTTTGTGTGTATCTGTCCATTCAAATGCAAGAAGATGTGAAAGAGAACTCAACTGGGTGTTTGTATGCTGAATGAGATGAGGCCCTCTGTGTGTGCTTTGGAAGAAAACAGAGCACAAATACCAAATCGAGCTTTCATTTGCGCCTACCTGCACTCTTAAAAATAAAGGTGCTTCAAAAGGTTCTTCAAACGATGCCATAGAAGAACCATTTTTGGTTCCACAAAGAACCATTCAGTCAAAGGTTCTTTAAAGAACCCTCTCTTTCTTACCTTTTTATAATCTGAAGAACCTTCTTTTGCCACAAAGAACCTTTTGTGAAACAGAAAGGTTCTTCAGATGTTAAAGGTTCTTTATGGAACCATTTAGACAAAAAGGTTCTTCTATGGCATCGCAAAGCACTTTTAAGAGTGTGTACTTGAAAGGTTTATGGATAGCTATGATTTTTCCCTTCCATCTCCATTATCCATTCATGGTGCTCAAATGGATGTTCTTTCATGCATGCACTCAGACCATGCTTTGTCCATCTGTGCTAAGCATCTAATGGTACTAAATTGGCTAACATCACATTAACAATGAAAAAAAAACTTACAAGCACTAGAAATAATGTTGTGAAGTGTGGTGTACACATCCATTGAACATATTTGATTAGGAAGGCTGCAAATGCTCTTTCATTCAGGGTTGTACTCAAGACATACATTAGTGTGCAACGGAGATCACTCTTTAATGACCCATTAATTATGTGTGTTTAAATGCAACCGGAGTAGAAGTGAAACATGTTAACAACCAGAAGCAACACACATTAAGCAGTGCAGCCTCAAGGAATGTGCTCTTTATGAAGACAATTCTGTTGACTGATCCAGCTTGGAGTGCTAAACACTTGCACACCTCCACCTCCCCAAAGGCATCAGAGTTGTAAGAGAAAGGTGTTGAAATAAAAAGAAATGTTGCAATGTGTGTTGCCACTGTCTCGTTGGCTTTATGACGCCAGCCAACCTTAGACATGCAACATCTTGACAACTGCAATGGCAAAACAGTCAAGGCTATTCAGGCTCTTCTCTAAAAGTTCATCCTGGTTTCCTCCTCTTTTGGCACTTCAGACTATGAGGGTGGGATGTGATCGAGAAGAAAAGAGAGAGAGAAAAAGCCCTGGGTTTCTTAAGTGTGAATATTCCCCAGGGTGAAAGCCTGTGCCATTGCCGTGTAAACACATGCTCTTTGAATTCAACTCTCTTCCGGTGCAATCACCCGCCGCACCAACTTTCTCATTATGGCAAAGCTGTCATGAATGTTATTTCACAGAAAATACAATTTGGTATAGACGCTCTCCTTCCAGCTTCTATCTGTCCACTGGAAAAGACCCAGGCCAGCGAGGAAAACGCAAAGCAAAGTGGAAGTGACAGGTCGGTGAGAGAAGTAATAGTCTCTGACATGAGGCATTGAAGACCCCTCACCTTCACTCTAACACAGACCGCATGAAGTGAATAGTGGCTCAATCTCAACGCAAACCAACTAATAATGTTCCTCAGCAACTCTGAGCTCAATCCGGCAGTATTACATAAATTAGTTTGGAAATAACACTCCAAAAAAAATCCCATTTGAGACTTTAACGACCTCTGTGACAGTTTAAAAGCTGTGATTTGCTTTGCACTCTCGAGGTGGCGTCTTAGAAAGCAGCTTGATGATTTTTTTTAAAAACAAGATGGTATTTTCACTATTCAATATGCCCTTCACAGTGTCAACAGCTTCTGAAAAGCTTCTCAATTATTTCATTCTATGGAACGCAGCGCCGCAAAAGGTCACAGGGACTTACAAGTGGAGATAACAAAATTAATTAAAGGCAGCTGGGCTTTTGGAGCAATGGACAGAGGTGTGGAAGATAGCAGCCGCACAACGGCCAAATCCCTTGGCCATTTCTTTCTTTGTTGAAAGGAAAGGGAGAGGGACTGTGCATCCCATAATGAAAAACAGAAACATGCCAATCAGATGAAAAATTGCAAAGGCGAATGACGCAGCCCTGCTTTAATGAAATGAATAATTTGCCAAAAATACTCAGCGTTATTTAATGCTTAATGTCACCAAATGTAAATATATCCTGTCAGATATCATTGTGAGGAAAAACTTTTATAAAAGCCACACTCTCTCTCTTGCACAAATATTTTTTTTCTTTTTCTTATTAGTCTGCCATTTCCTGCAAAGTGTCAACCATATTTTGAGACTGAGAATTAGCTCATTCAAAGAGAACAGAGTAAGTGAGCATGAGATAAAATTATTGATGGTGATGCGCAATATAGACAGGCAAAGAGGTGAGGAAAGTAAGAAATAAAATCAAGCAGAAAAAAAGAATGTCCAGTGATAAGACAGAGAGAAATGGCCATGCGTGTCAGAACAGGGCCGCACCACTGTAATGTCGTGCCAAAGTGCATGTTAGTGTGAGCACCCACGGAAAACTGGCTCAATGAGATGACAGGCTCAGAATTACATAAACAAAAGAGTGCGGGCGAGAGAGGCGGTGCTGTCAAGCCGACTCTGCGTGATGCTGTCCGCTGGGCTCGAGGAAAGCCTTGTAATGGGCCAATTACCTATGCAAACTGACAAATGGAAACAATAGGGCTGTCTCCTCAATCTCTATTATTTTCCGTGCTTTTTTTTGGAAGCGATAGATCCCTGTCACCAACTTAAACAACTGTAAATAGCATATAAACATTCTGAGTGGGTTTGCTTCAGTTAATGGGAGTTTAAAGAAAACATTTAGATCTTACAGAACATTTTGAGAGAGATTTTCGTCAGAGCATGCAGTCATTACTGAAAACGAACCTGTGATTATCATTACCTACATCACAGTAATTTAGAGATCAGCCTCTCCCTGTGAGAATGCAAATGCTCCCCGCAGCTGCTGTATTCAATGAATGTGATGCAGAACAAAGTCTCAGTTCCTCTCGCAAGAGCCTATACTGTAATTCTCATTGGGAAAAGTAATTTACCCACCCGAGAGATAAGATATCTATGGAAGCACTCAAGCGGAGGTTAAATTAGATGTCTACAGCAGAGAGGAAGATAAAAGAGAAACAAAGTCTTTAATGTGCATTAGAACAAGTGGCTGCTATAAAGGGCATTCTGAGGACTTTAAAGTCAACACGAAATCAACACTAAGTATCTTGCACATTAAAGCAATGCAAGTTATTGATATAAAAGCAAATAATGACAGATTTGACTATTAGAAAAACTGAAAATTAGAAACAAACCACACTTAGTACCCTTAAAGCAATAGTTGAGCCAAACATTAAAATGTTCTCATCATTTACAGTACTCAAATCACCCTTATATCATGCCAAACATGTTTGCATTACAAAAGTGATTACTTTTTTTCTGGGGAACACAAATATATTTTGAATTATGTCTCATACAAGATGCTCACCACATGATGATGAATAAAAGATGACAGAATTTTCATTTTTAAGTGAACAATAGTTCAAATACAAGGACATTTTGGAAGCTTGCTGTCTGCCACATGATGCTGAACTAAGCCAGCTAGCTGCCAATGATTATTATTAAAGTTGATTTATTCATTTTGTGCTAATCCCATTAATATTTGGAGTTTACTATCTTTACTTTCATCCCATGTCCACTTCAAATCATAGATATACACTAATATCAGACTTGAATTACATCTGATGCAAGTCTAAAATCATTTTTGTGATATTAAAAAGCTCAAAAATGTCCACTGAAGTAAAGTTGCTCCAAGTCTAGAACATTGACTTCCTCAAAATCTGCAAGTATAACAAAGACGCTGGTGTCTGATAACACTGCGCCCCTGGAGATCATGATCCAAGAATTGCAGCAACGTTAATTCCTAAGATATTACTGCAAGGTCATCTGGCTGCTTAATAAACCAGAACACTAGACCAAAGTTCTCATCTCTGAGGACGCATACACTCTAATTGCAGTGAGGTCATAATTTTGTGTTACACCTACTTGGTTTTATTAAGTAGGTCCCAGTTGGGATAAAAAACAGCAATTGTGCTGAGCACAGCAAGAGCAGAACTCTTATACAGAAATATGGATTCAGAGGGTCTCAGTAATGCCTGATAACACAGAGTTTAATGCAGTGTAGCATTACTAGAATAAGCTGACTGTTACAGGGCCTGTCACTTAGTCAGGCCTCAGTGTTTCTCAATCCAAAGTGAACTGCAGGGAAACTGCACATTACTGAGCTGAATCAGCAGCGGTCCCAGACCAGTGACCTGGAATACACCGGGTACAGCTGCTCTCATTCTAACTTCAGAGAGAATATGACTGACTCCGCTGCATCTTAATATTGTCCGCTGTGTAAATAAGAGTGCAGTATTAAAGGCATACACAAAAGAAGATATTTTGAAAAGTGTCTCAATGATTTTTTTCTTCAGTAAAAGTCAGTGGGGTTCAATGGTGTGTAAATGACAATTTTCATTTTTGGGTAAACTATTACTTTAAGGTCATGCACTTTTATGACAGTTTTTTTAGAAAGACAAATGTAAAAAAATTACCTGTAAAAAGAAAGAGACTGTATAGCAGCTGGCTAAATCCTTTGGTAGATGAAATGGTGTTATGATTTTACTAGAGCCCCTGGGTATCTGTCATCCATTGTGGATAAAGTAGCTAAAACATTCTCTATTATCTGGTAATTGATTTTTGATACAGCAGCTACAGGAGACAGAAAAGAGCACTCAAAACAGGAAGCGTTCAGCTCTAAAGCAGCAGACTCTCGCAGACAGGTCTATTTTCTTTCTAAGCCCTCTGGGTTGTGGGCTCTGACGAGGATTTATTTTAAAATAGCTGGGCTGCTGCAGTCAGGCCCTACTGGTGTGATGGATTTTCTTAGGGTGGGCGACAACAGCAAGAATTCGCCTCCTTCACTTGAGGTCATTTTAGCTCAACAGAGGCTTAAGGTGTTGACAAAAGGGAGAGATGTTATAACAGTACTGACAGTGATAAACCAAAATACTCCATCAAGGTACTGACCTCTCCTTGAAGTCCAGAAAGATCTTTCCCAAGCCATTTCCCCCGCTCACCATGGTCAGGTCAATGGCCCTCAACAGAGCAAAATGGACCTTGATGATGTCCTGTATAAGAATTGCCAAGAATTGTCAGCCCAGCATTATTTATCCATTTGTTGTACCATACTTTTGCCCTATCAGAATGATTCATTTGCTGTCAGACACAAGCTTTTGCCCATCTGTCTGCGTTGCCAAAATGTAAACGTTTAAATTGTTTTAAGACATGTATATCTTAACATATATCTTTAAAAAAAATGAAACTCACTTTTTTTTTAAAGGCAACACGTACATAATAATCAGTAAAGTCAACATTTAAGTTATTACAATATACTACAAAAATATGGTAAATGTATACAGTAAATGATCACTCACCTCTAAATTCACAAATATGGCCTCCATATCCTGCTGTGTTAACACTTGCTTTAGGGGGATCATATAATTCTAAAAAGGAAAAAGACAAGAAAATCCCATAAATGTCCTATAATATTTAGCAGAAAAATCAGAACTGAATTCCAGAAATGGCACATGTAATTAAATTCATTTATTAAATTTACTCAAAGTCAAAGCATACAATCAAACACAGGTATTAAGACTGCTTACACCTTGTTGTGGTTTGGTAATTGTCTTTGACAAACAAAAGTCAAATACTATTTGTCTAGCATGGCTGCGGGCAGGCTGTTTAAAGATAATAAACCCCAAGAAATCCTGGCAAATGCATCTATTTGTTTCAGTTGCAAAGCAGAAAGGGATTTCAGAGCAACACTGACACGTTTGGCTTAATTAGGAAGAAATTAATCAAGTGATAATCAGTAAACAAAGCCTCTGCCTGGAATATGAAATCTGCATGACCTCTCACTGTTTTGACAGGGATTTATCACCTCTAATAACAGTACACTGGCTTATTTTGTCACGCTTCAAATTCTGTGTGTACTGTAGTATGTGACAGCACAATTGGAAACAGGGCAGAAGAAAACATCACACATTCAAGTTTGTACGATTTTTACATACAAGCATAAGTGCATGCAATAGCTCCAGGGTGAGATTCAATCTCGTGCCAACTGTACTGATTTACAAAACGGACACGATTTCTCACTTTGTGGACAGTGCATGGCATTTCTGCCCTTTCTGTAGGCAAAGGAAGTACTTTTTTGCTGTAGGCAAAGGAGTTAATTTTTATTCCATCTCTGCAAGACAGACTTTTCAGGATAGGAGATGGACTATAAATGAACTCCCAAAACTTACTACCAGATTCTGGAAGATAAATTCTTAAAAGAGTGGTACAAAAGGATATGATGCTGGTCCTTCAAGAGTTACTCTCAACTTATCTGTCATAAAGCCTATAAAAAAAAAAAAAATCAGTCTTCATGTATTTCACAACACTTCAGGATGGTATTCTTATTAAGAGAGGATCATTTTTTTTAGGATTTTTTTACCCAAGAAAAGTCTCTGAGAATCTGAGAACTTCTGGAGACTCCAGCTAGGTTGCCGTTTTGGAAAATCGTTGTGCTGGAGACTAAATGGTTCCCAATTGTTTCACACCTAATTCTTCACCTTAATTCTTCATTCCTTTGCAGTTAACATGCATCTTTTCTTCTCCACCGTTTTTTTCTGACCCAATAAGCATTTCACTGTCCAATGGTCATGCCTTAACGTTGCAAATTCTAGTATTGCATTAGTATTACATCTCTCTCATGGGCATTTAATAATTTTTGACTTTCAGTCTGAGTTAAATCTCTTTTTTGGCTCATTTTATCTGTAAAAGAAAACCTGCTTAATAATTATGCACACCCGAGTTTTTTTACTTCCAGCCTTCATTTACAATTATATATCAATTATAAATGATTAAATACAAAATTAATAGTAGTTATTAAGATTAATGTGGTTTGGAATTGGTAAAATGTGCTTGGAAAAAAAATATCAGAATATCAACTTGCCTAATAATTATGCACGCACTGTATTATGAAAGTAAATGGAAAGTTCAGTTTAATTTTCAAGTTGACTTTAAGGTATTAGAATAATTCAACATGCCACTTAAGAACACTTGTCACCTAGAGCTCAGTTCTCATCTTTTGTCCTCTCCCTCCATCTATTTTGAGTTACCGCACTATCCGCAGAGAACCCTATCAAGACCTTGACCCAATTCCAGGCCTTCATTTCCACTCTCTCCAGCTCTAAATCTTTCTATGCTCTCCACTCACCTTCTCAATGTCCTCCAGTGTCTTGTAGTACTTTGCCTCTGTCTCCTGAATCTCCACTAAGCAGCAGTTTCTCTTATCATCTTCCGTCATGCCCATTTTCTGTTATGGGAAGAAGAAAAAGACACACAAACCATGTTGGTATCGTCCTGTAGAATGCCAGCTCAGCACCTTTAAACACCTGTACAAGGTACCGAACTGTAATTTAAGGGAATTCAGGTCACAATCAGGATGGCCAAAGCACACTACAGTAAAAGACAGAGGTGGACAGAGAGTATTTCACAACAAAACCTCAAGGGCATCGTTGACAAGGACTGTAGGTTAAAACGCTGAGGTTCAAGCAAGAATTCAGTCTTTCATTCATTCAAAACAACATCCATGTCTAAGTCTAAAGCACAAAGAACAACTGTAGGAAAGCCATAAATGTGGTTTTGATGAGGGTTGAGTAACTAAATGAGGTCAATTCACAAAACAATAACAACAGAAAATGATCTAATAGAACATGATGCATTTGATTAAGAGTAATCACTGGCTCTTGGTGTAATGCGAGCGGGTTTGCAAGCTTGTTTAAGAAAGTGGCGATAACGCTGGAGCCGGGGGAAGGTGCACGCCAGCTGAAGGCGAGAGCTGGAATGAACATCACAACACACATTTAAACATCTGGGCCTGGCGGTGCACAAGGCCAAAGCAAACCTGCCCACATCCAGAGAAATTCAAGATCACAAACAATTGTTTCGTTAGAGAACAAGATGGACAAAAAAAGGGGGGGAAATCCTTCCAAAGGTCCACCTAGCAACACTGAAAGCAGCCAGGATTGGGAACGGCAAATACATCTGTGACTTTCACTGAATAATGGGCCATTGTGAAACTCCAGTGGCTATTGTGGTAAATCTGGAAATTGTCTGACGTATAGAAGATCAAGAAAAAATATAATATGCGAAACAACAGCAGTTTAGAAACACCTCTGTCTTGGTCTCTGACATGTTTCTTTCTCTCCCTCATTTGAGTGGCTGTATTTGTCCCACTGAGAATCTAATGTGCCCATGTTGTAGCATCTGTCTGATGATACAGATTGTGCGTGTGTGTATCTCTATGAAGGCGGGATCCAACCGTTTTCTCAGTCTGCAGGAGGGATTTCCTCCCTTGTGGGTTAAAAATAACTTAACATTAGCTCACTCGGTGTGACAGCACACACTTTAAACTCAGACGGACATTAGCACAGAGTCAGCCTCCCCTCCTTTCTCATTTCTAGCAAAAGGAAGACGCTCCTGCCATAAAATAACTGCTAGCATTTTTATTTATTTTGCACAGTGGATTTAAATATGATGAAAAAATATGATGTAACTTAAAGGATAATAAATGCAGTACATCCCAAATATTAAAAAGTATAAAATACCCCAAATATTCAAAATAACTGTTCATCAAAAAATAAAGTCTGATGTTGTTTTCTCACCCTCATGCCTTTCTTTCATCCGTGGAACACAAAGGCAGATGTTTTGCAGAATGTTCACACTGCTGCTTTCCATAAAATTAACATATAAAGAGATCTAACAGACCTAATCAAACATTAAGCATAATCATTTGTTTTTGGTGTAATGCTAGTGAGTTTTCAAACTTGTTTTAGAAAGCAGAGACCACATGCTGTAAAGCTCCAAAAAGTTATATTAATGCATATTGCAAGTTTATTTTCATAAACAATGTTGAATTAACTGAATTATTGGTATATGGGAGTCGAAACATTTGTACACATGCTCTACAGTTGGTGTACACATAAGAACATTTTCATGTCAGCTTCTGCTTTTATAAATGCAGATTTGTTCCTCACTTTTCATGTAGGATAGAATCGAGGGTATTCAGGATCAAATCCGATCAAATGCGCATTTTAGAAATGGGGCCCCATGTTTCTGCATATGCAAACTGGTCTGTCCTGATAACTTACAAAACATATACAAAACAACGGTCTGGCGTGAAATATCTTCAACTGGCAAGTTTAAAAATGAACATGCACAAATAATATTTTAGGTGTTACCAAGGTCTTTTAGGTCCCTGGTCATCATGTGCTTTCACTGCACGGAAAATAGCAGCGTAAACATTTATTAAAACATCTGAGGGTAAAATATTCATTGACAAAATATTGTATATATTTATCTATTTTTGTGTCACCTATTCCTTTAATAAATAAAATTGTGGAAATTCAATGAACTGTCAATAAGAGTGAGACTCTAGACCCGCTCAGCAAATTCTTCATATATGCATAAAGGGTTCAAGGGCTTGTGTCGACACACATTTTAAGGAAAGGAAAGAGGACCACTGAAGGAGCATAAGAGAATCATGTGCAGTTCAGCATGACACTTACCTGCATGTATCTTATCTGCAGCATTAAGGAGGCAAAGCAGCAAATGTAAGCAGAGCAAGTGAACTCGCGCACAGCCGAGGGAAAATGAAAGGAAAACAATCCATCTATATCCTCTCTCACACACGCACCAATGAGCGTTGTCCGTATGGTGTCTCACTCACCATGGGCTGTCTAACCTCCACCTTGATGATGTCCTCGTAGATGTCGTCCCCATCGTCCTCACAGGGGACGCAGTCATATATGTCATCCTCTCCCACATCATGCTCACTGTGCAAGAAAAAGAAAATAATTTTCTGTGACTGGAAGTACACTACTGTTCAAAAGTTTGAGCTCAGTAAGTTTTTATTTTGTATTATTATTATATATTTTTTATACGATTAAATGATTAATCAAAGACACACGGTAAGGACAAACTAAATTGATCAAAACTGACCATAAAGACATTTATAATATTACATGCATGAATAATGTTACAGCTTTGCCATTATGGAAATAAAACACCATTATATAAATGTACACCATTATTTTAACTTGTAATAATATTTCACAATATTACAGTTTAATATATTATATTGTGAAAAATATTACAGTTTTTCACATAAAACAGTCTTATTTGCAAAGTACCAGGTCTGCAGTCACCTTTTTGTCATCATTTGATGCAAAACACTGAGACAAAATATAGCAATAAAATATCCAGCACTATGCGTCAAAAATGGAAAGCAACCGACAAAATGTCCAAAGACAAAATCAGATTAATATGAAAAAGATCATATTGATTTATCACTTCGCTCCTGGTTAGGACAGTTTGAAAAGTATCGACAGACAGAATTATGAAATACCTGGGACATAGTCAGCATCCTCATATACAGTTTGCGGCCATGATTAGCTTGTGTATGTGTTTATCAGACATTGAAAGAGCCCTGAAACCGCAGCGATGCCATTCATCACTGCACACTCTGCCGTTGTTCTCTCAGGGGAGAAAAGGAAAGGCCGAAATAAAGCGAGTTGCCATCACAGAAGGTGTCCTGGTCCCAGCTGTGTCTCACATCAACAATCAAATCAGTCATCCATCCCTCCCTAAGAGAAGACCTCACTCTCTCAAACACACACACACCAGACGGCTTTGCAACCAGACAGCAACAAGTTCCTTCCTCACTTCTGCTGATGTGTCCAATTGCAGGCTAAAACAAGTGTGAAAAGCTAATTCGGCTTGAATCAAACGCCTGCCCAGGAGATTAGCTCACTGCCTCATCGGCTCATGGAGAACAGACATACAAACGCATCCTTCCATCCTTCTTTCAGCCCTCCCTTCCAAAACAAGTGATGATGAACTAAACATTTGCTTTATATTTGCATATATATCTAGCAGATAGGGCTGGGCGATTTTCCAGATTTTTTTCAATTAATTCGAATGTATTGTTTTGCCACGATTGTATTTTTTAGAAAGAAAGGAGGGGAAAAACGTGTTTAAAGAGGAGCAGGGTGCTGCAAAAGAAGTTAGAACAGCCTGGCAGGGTTCTGTCTGTGGATACAGACGTGCAAACATGGACAACACAACAGTGTTTTCATTTTAAACATTTACAAATGGACCTCTTAAATGATGGCCTGGAGTTATACAGCAATATCAAATTATGGCTGTAAGAGAGGAACTGTTTTTAAGGACCTGGAAAATCAAATAAAATGGCTCAGTGATTGGCTCAAAACACACAACCAATTTTCCCCACTTATCTTAAGCAGTAAATCCACAATTTATGAGCTTATATGTCAATTTATGTACCTCTGAGAGAACAAATATGATTTATTGGCCTCCATTTCATGCCAGAGTGATAAACCAGCAAAAGGTGATGGGGAAATATAGCACAAGCTGTATGTCTGTGCAGTAAACAGAGTGAAGAAATGCCACAGACCAGAGAGCAATTACCCTTTAAAATGTAACCGCTTAAAATACTGCACTTATTATGAAAAAAAAGGGTCGGAAAAGACCCCTAAAACAACACATTAGATCGCAAAAGACCCCCCAAAAAACGACAAATTGGCATTAAATCAAAACAATGAAACAAACCAGTGCACTAAGGCCAGCCCTTGCCAAAGTAGATATAAATAATATCAAATATCTGAAGAATGTAGGAAGCAAAAGATAATTCCCACTGCCCTGTGAGGGGGAGGATAGGAAAAAAGAAAAAAGAAAAATGATAAAGGAAGAAGTGATAATGCCAAGATTGGAAGATTAATTCTCTGGAATGGTTATGAGAAATACTGGCAGTGCCTCAAGGGTCAGTTCTGGCGGCTCTTGGCAGAAACCCTTGTGAAGTGGTTTGAAGGGAGATTGTTTTACATCCTACCTCTGCCCGTAGGGAGAGACCATTTCCTCTTTCCCACTATAACAAGAATGTACCTTTTCCATGCATTTCTATCTTTGATCTAAAATATATTACTCACTAGCAAACATAAACAAGCAGTTGTAAAAAAAAAATAAATAAATAAATAAATAATAATAATAATAATAATATATATATATTATACGTTTTGTACTAAACACAAATAAAAAGGGACATACCAATTTAAGAACCAATATAGAGCTTTTTAAGTGGATTTGCACACAATTTTATCCATTTTAAATGGGAAGCCACATTTTTAAAAACTAAAAGACTTATGTTCAGTCAGTTACTAAGATTTTTTTCCAAATGTGTTTAGAACCCTAACTGTATAACCTAGTTATAAATTCAATCCATGGACCTCACCTATGAGATTCTTCAGCCATATCAGATTTGTATTCAGAATGTTCATAGTAACTGAAAATTCATATGATCACAAATGTACGTTAAACTTTTTAAACGACAGCTTTCAACAGCATGCTCATTAGACAACTCTGGTATGTAAGTTTCTCTGGATCAGGTTATAATGACTGAACACACTCACGCACATAACTCAAAACAAGGGCTACTCACAGTGAGAGAGATTTCAGCACTGCACTGCTATTTGTATAATAGCAAAAAAAAAAAAAAACACAACAGGTGCCATTCACTTTTCATTGCAATTACTGTATGTATATAGTGGGACTATACACAGTCGGTGCATGTATACACTACAGTACGGTATTCTGAGCAGTGAATACTTCTACATTCAGTGTAGGGCTGGGCGATTTTTCCGATTTTATCGATTAATTTGAATTTAATGTTTTGCCACGATTTTATTTTTTAGAAATCGAGGAGTCGCGATTTTTAATAGAAATATTACCAAACGTCAGAATTAGACACTTTGACAATATGCCAATGATAACAGTAAAGAGAAAAGACTGCATGTCGTGCATGTCGGCACACGTGATTAACCGCTCACGTGTGACGCGCTCTGTGAAGGACCATTAAAAGCAGCACAAGCACCATTCACACAGAATGCGCTTTTGTGTTGACAAAGATGCGACGCGGGCGGTGGAATAGGTAAAACATGCAAGAAGATGGGAGTGAACTTCTTTTAACTTGAGCGCAGTGTTTTTAGAATG